AAAAGAACATTACAGATATATTATAAAATCCATTTTGTTCACATTTAACGTTTAGAACAACTGATAATTCATTTCTCATCAAATTATTATGTTTTAAAAGCTAAAACCATCCACCATCTGGCATACTAACATGAAACAACAAGTGTATTTTCACTATTATATATTTTTACTTACATTACTATGACATGCGACTCTTAATCGTTGCTTGAAACGAATATGTTTTATTTATTTAACCGAAGCCTATTATAATCTTTAGTTATTCTCGACTAAAAATGAATACATAACGTACAAATGTTGATTTATATACATATATACTAAGACATTACGTGTCGTTCATCTTAAGAATTAGGCAAAAAGATTCTTTCACTATGAATTTCATCATTTTTTAATATCGAAAATTGTTAAAATAAAACTCATATATAAAATTTAATTTGATGATACTTATGATGTTTGTTTTCAATAAAGAGAAACATGTCAGGTTCATGTTTAAAATCTTACTATATCTTATATATATTTGAGAAAATCCAATTCATCTGACAAAAGAATATAACTAAATCCATTTGATAGAGAAATCTTTTGAGAAAAGTTATTTGCTCTTCGATCGAAAATTATCTTTTGTTCTATTTGAAATTGATTGTCTGTTTTCTTTCAGTTGTACCCGCTCATATATCAGTTTTAAATGCATCATAAATTCTTCATTAAAATTCGAGTAACAAAACTTTTTGTACAAAGATTAATAATTTCAAATTTCTTTGCAGTCAGCGATATAATCTAATACAAATGTTATACCAAGCTGAGTAGTTTTATCTGCTGTAAAGGTATGCATATAAAAATGATTTATATTTTAAATTACTTTTTCCGGTTGATAAAAATGTTTGTAAAAGGGAAAAGAATTGAAATTGTAAATATCTTTTCAAAAGAATAAAATTTTACAACTGTATATTGAAATTATCTTGCCCATAAAAATACAATTCAATTCATAAGATCTTATTATATTGCTATTTCTATTCATTTCAATAATAGCTGCTGATAGTGCGATGAAAAATATTCCAGGAATACTTGTTTGAACTTTAACCATTTCCTTTATATTTTTGAGCATATTTTTCTCCAGTCAAAAAATCTTTAAATACTTTATAAAGACCATATTTAAAAGTATCTTGAGGGATATATTCTAAGAGTATTGATGCCTATCCTTTTAATATTGCTCGAGTACTCTCTCCACCAGTGTTATATGAGAAGGATCAGCTCTGAAGTGAAAAAAAGATGGATTAGTATAATCGTAGTGGATACTATTACTAGGGTGTGGGTGTAGGTGTGAGCTAAGGGAAGAGACGTACCCACACCCTCAAGATGGTTTCTACCAGAATCATTTTTCCTAATTCATTATAGTTCTCTGATCAAAAACAAAAAAAAGTAATACATACGCGTACCACTGACCGTGAAAGACTTAATTCCATTTTATTGAATCATTGTATTACGTGGAACTGAGTCATTGGAATTATTACGAATATTCATATCAAATTTTCCTCCGAAACTACATTACTATTACGATAAAGTTTGCCATCCGAATGCACATCCCTATATTTTTAACAAGTTATCGCTGACATCTTTTTTTTTCACGTATGTATTTTATGATTGGTGTATTATGCAAGTAATCCTTTTTCTTATCGATGACTCAGATTCACAGATAAATGAAATGAATGAATAAAAATAAAGTTTATATAAATTTTTCCAGGTAAACAGATTATTAAATGACTCAATTTTTATCTCTTGCAAATGTTATCATGTTACAAAAGATCCCTTTTATTTTGTTATGTTTTCCATAGACTCAACTATATCCAACAAAAAATGCATCATCAGCATGACAAGTTATATTTTACTGATTAGGCAAGTTTCATAGGAATATCTATTTATAACAAAGATGAGTCGTTTTCATTACTCAATAGATACATAATAATAGTAAAATGTTAATTACACATATTCATATTGTTTGTATTATATCCTTGATAACACATGAGTCAACTTTTAGTATAAATCATTTATTTATATGAAGCTAATTGATTCAAAGAGTCTTAGTCTTCTCACACAATGAATTAGATAAATTTTACTCCATACTTTTTAAAATTTTGCATTGTCATATATTGTCACATGGTGTGGTTTCCCATCGATAGACTATATCATAGAGTGTGTCATTAATTCAAATAATAAAATAATTTAGTTGACCTAATTTATATTTTTTCTTTAAGTAGTAATTGGTCTATTTGTTTTTGTTATCACCTGTAAAAATAAGATTTAGTTGTTTTAAATGATGAAAAATATGATAAAATTGTAGATATTAAATTTTAATCATGGCGTCTATAAAACATGATATGAACGACAATTATGGGTTGGAAGAGTCTCTGCAAGTATGTTGTATATATATTAGAATGATAAGAATTACGAAAATTTATTATTTTTTAAGATTGATGATCAGCAAATAATGTCAATGAGTGTTAAAGAATTAAATACATTATTAAAATCAATGAAACCAAATGATGCAGCTCATATTAAACGTCGACGACGTATTCTTAAAAATAAAGGTTATGCAGCAAGTAGTCGTAATCGACAAACATCTCTCGTGGGTAATTTATCTGTTGAACGAAGTCAATTAGTAAAACAAGTAATAATTATTCTATAAAATATTTTGATATTTCATCTATTTATTATATTCAATAAATAGATTAATCAATTACGAGGCGACAATGAAACATTATCACAAGAATTACGTGGTTGGAAACAACGCTATTCTGATCTTCAATTATTAACAACACCACCGACTAGTACAGCATCACAGAATACTACGACAGAATCATCCAAATAAAAAATAGACTTCTATATGACTTTTCATCTTTAAATACTTAAATTTACAATTGAAATATTTTTAACTATCATATATATATATATATAGATATATATAATTATTAATTTTTGTTCTTTTTGATAAAACTAACAAACCTTATTATGTATAAATATGAATATAAAAAAAACGAAAATTATACAAAATATTCAATCTTGAATTTCGAGTAAATAGTTATTTATTAGAAATATAAAAGATACATTGAGATTGCTAGTTTTTTCCAATTGATCGCATTTTAATTTCGAATTCTAAAAATTCCCGAAAACTTTTATCATCGATATATTTTTTTAAAACATCATCGATCACTTCCATTGTTGCATTAGGATAACGTTGTGCAATTTCTTCAGCAAATGTAAACCATACACCTATATTATATAAAATGAAACTATTGAAAAATTTCAAATATAATACATATTTCATTTACAATTAGCACAATTACTCATACAACATGTTGTAGGTGGTATTAAATCATTATCTCTTGAATCGTATGATGAAGATGATTGCCATCGATAGCAAATCGAATTTTTTAAAATTTGATACGATTGCCTACTAACAACACGTAGAAAATCATTAATCATCTGGAAAAAAACAGTACTATCATTTTCGAAAGAAAAGAGAATCATATGTGAATATCAAAAAAAAAAGGAAAAGAGTCATACGTTTGTAATTCACAAAAGGGATTAACATAAAAGAAAATACATAACAAAAGTGATTAACTTTAAGAAAATAAAGACGAGCGACGAATATATTTTATCAAGGTATCAAATGTTACGAATGATACACCTACAGATATTGGTCCTTTTAACCAATTCATTGTTACACCTTTATATAAACCACGTGTGATTCCTTCTTCACGAATTATTTTACTTGCTGTTGCAATAGCACCTAAAGATGCTTCATTTGGTCGAATAACAGCAGCAGTTTGTAATCTACGTCGTATAACATCAAATGGATATGAAACTGTTTGACCAACAAGACCAGCAGTAGCACCGAATAACATTCGTTCAGCTTTATTAATGGGACGATGGGAATGATAATCTATATTATAGACATATAAATATATACTTTTTTCTTATATTTATTCAATTACCAATACGAATATGTTTGAGCGATTCATAAGTAAAAAAAACACAACCAGAATATGGTAATACACCGACTAACGATAAAAGTGCACCTCGATATAAAGCTGTAACACCTTCATTTTTTAGGATGCTTAGAAAGACGGAGAATAAATTACTATACCTAAAGAAAATAAAATACAATTAAGAATTGATTACATTCAAAAGATACATACACAGTTTTATTCGTCACTGCCATACGCGCACGTGCTAAATCAAGTGGATAAGTAATCGTTGCTGATGTAACACCTGCTAAAGAACCAGAAATAAATCGTCGACCAGGAGTTTTTCTACAGAAAATAAAATACATTATTATCTATTTCATAGATATTTTTACTCGTGTTTATCAGTGCCAAGGATACGTTTCCATTGTTCATGTGCTGTAAAATTAATAGCTGCTGAAGGAATGACACGAACTAAATTGGCTGAATTTCCACGATACCAACTCATAAAACCTTCATTTCGATATGATTCTTTTAGAAATTTAAAACAACGACGATAACTAAATTTATCTACTCTAACTAATAAAATATAAGAAGTTAAATTAGAAAATATTTATCAAATTAATCTACCTTGGAAATTAATTTTCGCTCGATCAAATGGTGCAATGGTTGTTTTCGCTAGGGCACCTAAAATACAAATCAATAACATAATTCAAATCTTCTATATTATTATCACATACCTGCACAAGCGCCAGCAATGAGGGAAGAAACAATTTTTTGGGTATTGGAAAGCTATAAAGAAAAATAAACAATATTTAAATATATAGATTAAATTCAAATCTTATCAAATACGTTTGCGTGTTCGTCTACTTGGTCTGCCATTTTTATGAAAATTATTCATCATCCTTTGAAATGAGAGACATTAATCACCGGACAAGAAACATAATAAATATATATGTATATATCTAGAATAAAGTAATATTCTTGATTATTTTTCAAGTTTTAAAAAATATTGATGCATATACAATAATAGATAATCATTTTTTTCTAAAACACATGTTATACTATATAATGATTATAATATGAGCATTCTGGAAATTGGCTTGCGTAATCAATTCTCTTTTCGTAACGCAATATGTAAAGGTTAATATGGGTTAACTATTAATTGATTTATTGTTATTTTAACTGATATTTACAATGTTACTAAATGTTATTTGATATGGATCAAAACAATTTTTATCCGGTCCAGATCATTTCATGTTTGAAATGTGGCTGTTTTCGGTTGTTAGAAGATAAAAAGAGAATTAGATTTCTACGTATTTTGATTTTTCGATTGTGAAACAATGGAGAAACAACAACGAACAATTTCAATAACTTCAACTAAATCATCTCCAGAAGTAGCAGTTGCTAATCTCGATCCTTTATTACAGTCAATCAATGATGTAAATGATGATATAACATATTTTGATCGAAAATCATCGATTTTTTATCATCCTGCTAATATTATCGATGAAAATGATGAAGAAAATATTGATTCCAATCAAAAAGTTCATATTTATACAAAATGTTTTTGTTATATAAAAAGATTTTCTGGAATTTTATATTCTTTAATAGCTGCTTTATTATTTACATGTTCAAATTTTATTATAACACAACTTGATGTTGTTTTATTAGATGTATTTCTTATTCGATTTATTATTCAAGGATTAATTTCATATGTATATATTACTTATAAAGATTATCATGTATTTCCATCGAATATTAATAATTTACTAATGTTTAGTCGATCATTCATGGCTGCTATGGGTAGTGTTTGTTTTTATCTTGGTCTTGAATTACTTCCATTACCTGAGCTATCAACATTACGATATACACAAGTTATCTGGACAGCTCTTCTTGTTTTAATTATATTTCGAGAACGAATTACATTACCAATAATTATAGCAAGTATATTAACACTTATTGGTGTCATTTGTGTAGCTCAGCCAACAATTCTCTTTACAAAATCAAAACCGATTAATGAAACATTACAAATGTCATTAAAAAATGATGATCAACGTTTAAAAGGTGTATTTGTTGCTATATTTTGTGCATTTTCAATATCAATGGGTATTGTATTAAATAAAAAATTACTTGAACAAAAAGTTCGTCAAAGTGTAATCATGTTTCATTTTATTTTGACAACAACTTTTATGTTATTAATAACTCAAACATATTACTGGGTATTTTCAAAAACAAATCATCGAAAATTCAATATAAAAGAAATTTATCTAACTGAAAATTTTATTTATGCAACAATTCTTGCAACATTACAATTAATACCAATGGTATTAACACAAAAATCTATTAAACGTGAACATCCATCAATTGTAACAGTTGTACAAGCATCCGAAATACTTTTTTCTCTTATATTACAAAATATATTTCTAGCAAAGAAATCAAATGGACTTGCAATAATTGGTTCAATACTTGTTCTTACAAGTATTTTTATTCTTGGTGGTCATAAACTTTGGTTAGATCGACAAAATCGCACACATCAATCAATAAAAATACAAAGGAAATAAATAATCATTCATAAAACTCAAATGATATTTTCTAAAATTACTAATACTGCTGAATAAGAACGATAGTATACATGCAGTTACTACGTGGCTACATTGCGCTCTTAAAGTGCAAAAAATTTTTAATTAAAAGATAAAAATAAATGATGTACTAGAGACTATGGGAGTTAAAGTCAGTTGTTTTATATAAGGTGCGTATATAAAAAGAAAAATGACGTTTATAATGTTCTATTAGAAGAAAAAAAGCAAGTAAGATAACATATATTTAGAAAGAATGAAATCAGAATCATATACTATTGAGAAACATGACTTAATAGATGATAATAATATTTGTACGAATGATCCTCTTATTGAACCATTAATTGATACAGATGAATTTAAATCAATAAATGATAATGATGAAATAATTAATAGCTATGAACGAAAATATACATCACTTACTACACTTCATTCACATAAAGAAATTCAAACAAAATCAACATGTTCTCAAATAATTACACGATGTACTGGAATATTTTATGCACTTTTTGCTTCATTTCTTTTTACATGTTCAGGTTTTATAATCAAACAATTACGTGTTGATTTTTTTGATGCACTTTTTGGTCGATTTACTGTACAATCATTTATTTTACTAACGTTTACATTGTGTAAAACAAAAAAATTTATTCATGGTTCAACTAAATTAATTATTCTACAAATTATTCGTGCTATTCTAGCAGCCAGTGGTTTAATTTTATTTTTTGGTAGTTATCGTTATATACCTCTACCAGATCTAACAACATGTCGTTATACACAAGTAATTTGGACAGCAATTTTAGCGATGATTATTTTTCATGAACGTATATCAATATCAACACTTGTAGCTATTATATTTACACTAACAGGTGTAACATTAGTTGCACAACCCACATTCTTATTTAATCATAATAATCATCAAATCTTATCAAATCAAAGTAAAATAATATTAAATAAAACAGATGTTATTGATTATGAATCTGATAAATCTTATCGTTTACTTGGCCTTTGTCTTGCACTTGGATGTGCTCTATCAATATCAGGTAGTATGGTAATTAATAAAAAATTATTAATGTCAAAAATTCCTCAAAGTATAATAATGTTAGAATTTTCTCTCTTAACATTAACTTTACTTATTCTTAATCATATATATAATCGTTTTATTTTACATAAATATGATAATCAAACAATGTTTACATGGCAATTTTTTCTTGCTGCATTTGTTTCATTAATACAAGTATTATCATCAACAATAACACAAAAAGCAATTAAACTTGAACATCCATCGATTATTTCTGTTGCTCAATCATCAGATATTCTATTTGCAATTATATTACAAAATTTATTTTCGAAAGTTAAATCAAATTGGTTCGTTTTAATTGGGTCATTTCTAGTTACAACAAGTATTTTCCTCGTTGGACTTGAAAAATTTTCGAAAGATCGTAAGAAACTACCAAATAATAGTCAATCGAATACAAAATAAATGAATTTAACATACCTATTGAACAAATACGTCGAGTTTATTAACCTAAATGTATTAGACTTTATTAGAGAAAATAACAGATTGTTTCTAACATGAGTAAAATTTTCCATTGAATTACATCTAAAAACAGATATATTCTGATTTATATTATTTCGTTTCTGTTAAATTAAGATTTTAAATATTGAACTATTAAAAAATTTATTTAAATAAAAACAAAAATGACTAAAAAAAATCATTCCCAAGAAAAAAAGATAAGATCTCTAAAGTATACTGACAATTTTAAATTAAATGAGATAAATAACATGAGTATATTTTAATTAAAAACCAAAACAAAAAAAATCCCTGAGATATTCTATGAATAAGCAGCAGTAAGTCGTTGAAAAAGTAGCTCTTGTCTAAGCGGATCATTATTATCAGACATTGTTGTATTTGATCTCATAGCCAAAAAAATGTATGCACCAATAAATTCATGTATACATTTACTATTTGTACCATATAATGGTAAAAATTGTATTAATTCATCATCAAATTCAATAGTAACTAATTTTTTATCCCAATTAACATTCCATGAACACATTCGAGATATCCACCATGTTTTTAATATATCACCTGTCATTGTCATACGTAAAAGACGATTTGATGCAATACCAAGTAATTCCTAAATAAATATTATGAGAAAATAACAAACGATTATAGTTTTTTTACTTCTTTTTTATTTGAATCTTTAAATTTAACAATAAATGTTGAAATACCAAATTCAGGTAATGATTGCCAAAGTTTTAAATACCGTAATTTAGCTTCTGTACCATCTAAATTACTTATAGCAGCATGTGCTTCGAGAATACGTTCAGTTAACTAAAAAGAAATCAGACATTCTAATTATTCAAATCAATGGAAAGTCAACAAGTAATGCTCGTCCGAGGACTCGCTTAGCTCTTTGTCGTAGAAATGCATCTTCTTCACATTTTCTGGATAAACAATTAAAACCTGATCTTCGATGTTTTTTTGACCCTGTGGACACAAGCAAACAATTTATGTTTACTGGACTCTTCTCTACGAGAAAGAGAATATTAGCTAAATTATTATTACTTTCTATCAGACATACATATAAAGATAACAAGTATTTTTATTTACTATAATTAAGATAATTATTTGCTACTAATATCTCATTGTCAGACGTCTTTGTTATTCTTGTCTCCTATATATTCATAAGGGAAATTAATGAGCAATTAATTTAATTATCTACTATAAAATAACAATAGTTCATATCGAAATGTTTACTATTCATTCTGTTCTTACATAAATCAATGCTTTAAATATGTAAGATCGTCGTGAAGTATATATTTTTTATTTTCGGACAATAATATATTATATCAAATAAACTTTATGAAAAAAAAGTAATTCGATGAATTTGTCCGTTGAATGAAAAAAACTTATTTTTTAGATATACGAACCTGTTTAGGTTTATATTTTTTTGAAAATTTTATTGATACATAATTCTCTGGTTGAATATCACATTTCGTATGTTGAGAATTTGATAATGGTAGTTGCATATTAAGTAAAGCTAATATTGATTCTCGTTCCGTTTCATAAGATGGTTCATCTATAGTACGACCTTTTGATGCAAGACGAAATGCAGCCATCCATGTTGCATATTGTTTTATCTTAGAAAAAAAAGTTAGTATTTATTTTAGTATAGATTTATTTAATATATATACTGTTGAACATTTAATTAATATTTCATTCATTCCATCAATGGATGGAATCATTAAACGAATTGAATATTTTTTTGTTGATATATTTACATCGGGAAGAATTTCTGAACCTTTAAGTAAAATTTTTTCAATCGGTGTACTATGTTGTTGACATTCGTCTGTATAATAATTTAATTGTGTATTTCGTAAAACAAACCAATAACGTTTAAATGATTTAAAAATAAATCGACGTGGTTTGAATATACGTAAATAATCACATAAATCATTTTTCGATTGTTTGAGAGTATTTGATTGTACTAGTGAATGTATTGATTGACTTTTAGTTTTTCCTAATAAAGAATTTTGTAAACGATTAAGAGCTTGATCAATATCTGTATTATCATATTCATGATTAAGATCATCATTTAAAGAGTTAATTATTATTTTTGATGAAGATTGAATTTGAACTTGAAGCTGAAAAAGAAAATTATTTTGATTTAATTCATAAATTTATTCTTTACTTGTAAAGCAGCAAATGTCATCATTTCTTCTTCTGTACAGTCAATATCTTTAGTTAAAATCGACCATTTAGCTTGTTCATATAATTGATTCAATCGTATAGCATCAGTCTATAAATAATTAGAATAAAAACAGCACAAAATTCGTTTGTTTTTTGAATTACCTTAGGATTTAAATCATAGAATGAATAATATTTAAAACGTAATAAAATTAAATCATTCTCATGAATATTTTGTTCCATAAGTGATATTGATGAATCAAACCATAAACTATTTAATTTACATTTTTCAATTAAATTTATTGGTCGTAATAATTGAGGTACAAATTGTTTTGTTGTTATTAATGGTGTTCGAGCAAGATCTCGATCATTTATTGTTAAACTATTCAATGATTTTGATAGATTTGATATTGAACGTTGCTTATGGAATGTTGAATTGTTTGATCGAAGTTTTGGTGTTGTTGGAGAAAATGTTGATGAATTATTTGCTAATGAATCTCCAATTGAATGATGTCGATTAAGTGTATTTGAAAAATTTTGTTGACGATGTCGAGGTGATGTATAACATTCATTTGTATGATGTGAAACAATTGGTAAACGTAAGAATGATAGTTCTTCAGCATGACGAATACCTTTGAATACATAAATAAATTTAAATTGATTCAAAATATTATTTACCAAGATCTTTGCAAAGTTTACAAATTGATGCAAAAACCGAAACAGAAAAATCAACACGAATTGATAAAATACGTAAATCAGGTAGTTGTAAACGAATAAATTTATGTTTAGTTGTAAATGTTAGATTTGCATCAGATTGTATACCATATTGATCAAGTGTCCATGTTGTATTTGTTAGCCATATATTCGCTGTTGAACACCAAAGTGCATGATCAGACAAATCTTCAGACATATCTTTAAAAAACAAAATCTTAATATTTTCACTTTCTATACTCATTTAAGAATAAAATCATATGATTAACTAACCAAGATAATTCATGAATTGAGCTATAACTGCACCAATTGACATTGAACCTGTGACAACGACAATTTTTGAATCGATTGTTAAATTCCATGATGGTTGACTAGATTGTGATCGTTGTCCTATTGAAATTGACATTCTCTTCTTAAATCAATAGTAAAAGGACTTCGAACGATCATGGACCTTTATAATCTGAATTCTGCTGATCATTACGATGCATTTGGATTAACCAATCAAAAAAATTGTTGTTCATAACAATATTTCTATCGCCTCTTTCGACTATATATATTTATTTTTCGTAATAAATTTCATCATAAATATGAAAAAAATATCTTTTCAATAATAAGAAATTTTTTTATATCATTTGCAAGATAAATCCACACTTTAACTCGTCCATAATATATATATACGTATTCCATTATTTTGTTTCATTGATCGTTATAGTCTTATTTGTTCTGTTTTATTTCAGAGTTGAATCACTATCATTAAATTATGGCCGATTATAAAGCTATTGGAAAAGCTTTTCTTGATTTTTATTATGGTAGATTTGATGCAGGCCCACGAGAAAATGTAGCTTCACTCTATGTAAGTACTTTTATTTTTTTCAATTAATATATATATGTATATTTTTCAGGAACCTGTTAATGGCATGATGAATTTTAATAGTCCAGATTTTGCTAAAGGTGCTCAAGAAATAGCTGAAAAATTACGTTCACTAACATTTCAAACAATCGCTCACACAATATCAACAATGGATATTCAACCAACATACGATAGTTGTATTTTAATTATCGTTACCGGTGCTCTTAAAGTAAATCAAAATATAATTTTTGTATTATAAATAATTTCGTGTTTTTTTATTTAGGCAGATAATGATCCACCAATGCAATTTACTGAAACATTTCTTTTACGTTTTATTAATAATTCGTGGCTTATAATTAATAATGTTTTTCGACTTATTCTTCATGGTTGAACAAAAATTCGTTTGTTCTAGTTTAATTATTCTCCAATACGAAAGAAAAATAAACTTTAGAAAGAATAGAACAGTCAACTTGTTTATTAATATAAATTTATTCTTTTATTTCTATTTCGTTTTATTTGTTAACCTGTATCTATAAGAATATATAGACAAACAAAAGAAAAACGTTAATTAATCATTTCTTTTTATTTTTTTCCTCCTGTATTTCTTTCAATTATATTTTTCTATTCTTCTCTCTCTCTCTCATTGTCTAATATGATCATATATATTTATAATTATTTGTTTTAAACACGCTATAAAAAATTTATATTGAATTTCTAGATTAATTCTGTATGAATCATGAATCAATAAATTCGTGTCTGTCTATTTATGATATTAATAACCAATCATATTTCACTTATTGTACCTCTATAATAGTTTTGTTATTTTCTCTTAACTCATTGGTTTTCTGAGACGTTAGTTACAGTTCTGATAATAATCTCTTTGGATAGGATTTACCAACTTTACTTTTTGTTTGTCTCTTGCGAAAAAGAACTTCGTTATTTTAATAAACTACTTTGAGCGCTCGCCTCTACAACGAGTCAAAAAGCAAATATTATTAAAAATTCTTCCACATAATTCATTTTATATAAATTATTGTTGACGTGATGAGTTCTTGCCTACTTTTATACTGCATGCTAATATTAACAAGTAACGCGACGCAAACGTCGCTGAGCCCTCTACTGAAAAGATGTGATTAGATCCGTCAGTAGGCTTAAGGTAAGATAAATATTTGTTTTAGTCCATTAGTCGAATCACTTGATCACTTCTCAAAAAGTCTTTCACTGTGACTCATTTTACATCCTATAAGCTCTCAAACTAATGTCTAGTCGTTCGTCGGCTTCCCTTTGGTCGGCCACTCACGACTAGCCATCGATATGCATTTTCTATTTTCTCATCAGTCAGGTGAGCATTTTTACACATTCGAAAACTAAGTCGCACATATTGGATGGATTCGTAACCAAAGATTCCTAGAATTTACATAGCAGTATATGGCTTTCAGCATAGATTTCAATCTCTTCGTTAATTTTAGGAAAATGATAACCTGTTGGATTCATTCTCGAAGAGATCTTAGTTAAGTTCCTGCGAAACGTCGTTCAAGCTACTCAGGAATTTTAAAGCCTATCCATTGAATTAACTTTCCAAATTAACGTCTAGCCGGTCGGCCACTCACGACTAACCGTTTCTATGGACACCTCTACTATGTCCAAAATGCGATGAGCTTCTAGTAATACGATTTCGAAAAAAAAGTAAAAAGAGGAAGTACTGTTTTATGAGCTGTTACGAATAGAACATATTTGTTTCGCATAGTCCTTCGCATATTTGAAACGTTATTTATATGGTTGATGTCAATGAAGATGCAACAGAAGGGTCGCAACCAGATACCTCGTTTTCATTCACATATTTTTGCTAAAGTTCTATCCCTCACTATGGAGCGTTTAGAATTCAAACATAATCGAATGAGAAAATATAATAGAAACATTTACAAAGTAGTAAAACATCGTACGATCAGAGCCACGCTATGTAAATTAAGGAATCTTTTTCTTGGCATATTTTTTTTCGATTCACCATGCTAGAGGATGAGGGCGAATGTGGATATCTCTTTTTCTACCACGTCCACCCTTACACCTACCGAAACCCTTATCCACACCCTTACTCAATCTTCGTAATTCTGCTTTCAAAAATTACTATTACTAAACAAATGTATTCTCGTTTCAGATTCTCTAATCATCACAATTTTTTTTATTGAAAGTGGCTTTGACTTTGCTCGCCGCCGGTGGCATTGGCCTCGGAGCACTTTTTGGCTGGAAATTTTTCGAATCAGTCAATAATGCTCGACGTGACGCACGTGGTCTTGGTCAGAGAGCAGTAACAATAGCCGATAATACTCGACTTGATATAGCTTTTATTGCTAAGCTAGTAGTAGAAACAATCAATGACTTAGCTCATAACTTTACTCAGAATATCAATCTAATAACTGATGCCTCCGTTTGGTCTATGATGATGTTAACTACTCGTCTCAATATTATTATGCATATCTTAGCAACTGCTGCTTTGGGTATAGTGGCCGTGGGTGCATTTGGCCTTCTTTTATATTTATCTCATTTCTCAAAATTTCTTCAAATGATTGCTTGGTTCCTATTGGCTTCAGTGAGCGTTTTTATCTTTCGTATGTATGTTGAACATTCAAGGGTCTGTTCGAATATGATTAGAGGTGAGACAAATATTAAATGATAGATTTAATACGCACATCCTCACCCGATAGACTTATTATTCGTATATAAAGAGGTTAAATACCCTGGTAAATGTTTATAGGCATGCTTCAAAATCATCCTGTATCATTTTGTAGAATCCATGATAAGAGTAGGAAATTCGTGGAAATGATCATTTCATGATCTGATGTTGATATGAAAGTAAACATATGTTTAGTGTTAAATTAATTGGTTTTTTCAGAATGTGATTAAAGGCAAGCAAACTTTAATAAAAATTACAAAAAATCATAAAACTGTTATATCAGAAGCGTTCCTCACTTCTATTTTTTACTGAAAAAAACTAAAAATTAAACTGAATTAATATTATTATCTCAATTGAATTAAGTTGAAAAGTATTTTATCTCTAAAATTTAAGTTATTTGAAACTACTCTGATGTACTATGAGATTTTTTAAGTGAAAAAGTATGATATATTTATTTGTTAGACTTAGGTTTAGCATTTCATTCAGATATGATTAAATTAAAAGAATATACTGATTATAAAGTAATTTCAACTATTGATGCTTTTAAATCTTGAGGATATGGGTGTGGATGAATGCAAGACTATATTACACCTACACCCTTACCCTATTAATTTTTTTATTATTTTCAAATAAAATCATTATATTTTCTTTTTATTAAGATTTTTCTCAATCACATCATTCTGCAATTACTAAATCGACTATACCAAATAATGCAATAACAACAAATCAAAGATCAAACCAATATCAAACAACACAAAGTATGTTTCATTAAATAAAGAAGGGTGAATGTGGGTGTGGGTGCAAGTATGAGTGTGAATGAAATAAAATACACCCACCCACACTCACACCCTCAAGAACTTTCAAGATTGTAACCGAGGTTTTGAGCGAGCTCTCAGCGTCTAAAACTTAAAAAAGAACAGAAGGAAATATACTAATTTTGTCACAAATTGTGTAAGAATATTGCCAGTTTTTTCCTCTTTTTTTTAAGTTTTAGACGCAGAGAGCTCGCTCAAAACCTCGGTTAGAATCTTAAAAATTCGTTTTCTGTAGGTTTGATGATGTCCTCTTCCATTGGGATAAGTCAAAAATTTTCTTTAGTGAAAATGGTTTTTCATTTGAAGAACCAAGGTCTTTAAGAAACGGGCCTGTAAATCGGAAGCGGGCAAACACCATTGTGATATTTGGAATCAGCACGTTCGATTACCTATTGTCAACTGAGTTTCAGCCCAAAAGCAAGGAGGCAGTTGGTGGACTTACCTCGTTAGGTTTAGCATTTTATTCAGATATGATTAAATTAAAACAATATAATGATTATAAAGTAATTTCAATTATTGATGCTTTTAAATCTTGAGGATATGGGTGTGAATGAATGCAAGACTATGTTTCACCTACACCCTTACCCTATTAATTTTTTTATTATTTTCAAATAAAATCATTATATTTTCTTTTTATTAAGATTTTTCTCAACCACATCATTCTGCAATTACTCAATCGACTATACCAAATAATGCAATAGCAACAAATCAAAGATCAATCCAATATCAAACAACACAAAGTATGTTTCATTAAATAAAGAATAAAAATAATTTTCGTAAGAAAATAGTTTTATTATCTTTAAAATTGATAGAGAACTTTTTCATAAATTATTTTTATTAATTAAATAGCAATTCAAATTAATTTTTCAAAAAATATTATTCTTTTAATATGATATAACAATTTCTCTTGAAACAATACTCATAAAATTATTTATAATTTTCTTCTTTTCTATTTTTTTTTAGCATTTAATATAATACTAAAAAGAGATTTTATCGATTGTTTTTGAATTATTTTTTTTCATTGAAATATTAAGAGTGTGATTAAATGAACGTTTAAAATAAAAATTCTTTTGAAAAATAAAAGTTTTTCATTTAAAAATTTTTTTCTGAATTGATTTATATAGCTAAGAACAAAATTTAACATCGAAAATTGTATTTTCTAATTAAAATAGATATTTTTCACAATTGAAAGAACTTTTATAGCACTGTTAATCGATATAATCATTCAAACAGTTGAGGATGTGGGTAACACACTTCTCTTCACCCACAATCCCTCTCGTCCGCGTAACAGAATAACATAACACAAGGATTAAAAATAACGAGGACAAAATTTTATTCTTTCCCGATTCTTGCTTTGATAGATTTTCTAACAAGATTCTTGCCTTTCTTTTGACAATAAGGCACACCGAATCTTTTCTGATGAGACAAAACTTCTTTTTCAGACAAGGTTCTTACTCTCTCACTTTTCTTGATTATCTTGGCTGTTTCTTATGCTTTGTTTTTCTAGCCTAAGTCTTTTCATATTAAAAAAAGGTCTTTAATAGCTTATTAGTATTTGTTTTCCTCTATTTCATTATAACTTCTTCACGTCAGTATAAATAATGTAAAAATACAAAAAAATGTCTTAAGTTTTACAATTTTCAACCCAGTAACAAACGTAAAATTCCTATTATGAAAATTATTTGTTTTTAAAATTTTAAAATTATCGTGTAAGTGTAGAACTTTCGTTTTCCATTGAGAGAATACTTTTGTAGACGATGCAAGAAGATCCAAAAAATGAAGTGTTTAAAGAGAAAAAATATTTATCCAACTGAGATTATGTTAACAATTGAATTGAAAATGAATAAATAACGTTTAAATATCGCTTTATATGTATATAAAACTATGCAAAGATAGTATTACATGCTGTTCATCTTAGAAAGATAACAAGAATTTTGTTCTTTTCTCTCATAAAAATCTTATTTGGTAGTAGAGAAAAACAAGGATCCGGAAAGAATAGGGCAAGATTATCGATTGGTGCACAGACAATTGAAGAGAAACTTGTTTACAGGAGACATTTTAAACATCCTGTATAATTCTTCATACCCATGTAGATCAAGATAATTAAGCTTTTTTCTCTTTTAAATATCAAATCACCATTCTCTCCTAGTTAATACAATGCAGATATATGATGAAGTATGAAGAGATTAGTTTAAATAAAACTATTTATTTATTAACAATAAATAACAATAACTTTTCATGCCTTGCTGAATTCCTTCTTGTTTTTCGAGTCTCTTTCATTGAAACAAAGAGGCTTTGAAATAATCCTTGTTTTTCTCTCTCTCTATTGTAGTTCACCCGATGCGTGCCAGTTGGGTGGATATTCATCCTAACGCCACATGGAACAAGAACGGTCAGACGGCGATTGAACGAAATTCTATTCTCACTCTACCCCACGGTTTATTCGTGGCTGAGGATCAGACGGTCTATGTTGTTGATCAAAATAATAACCGTATTGTGGCTTGGAAGGATGGCGACACACGGTGGCAGGTGGTGGCGGGTGGAAATGGAGAAGGAGACGATGATAATCAACTGGACCGGCCGACAGATGTAATCGTGGACAAGAAGACTGATAGTCTTCTCATTTGCGATTACTGGAACAGAAGAGTGGTTCGTTGGCCTCGTCGATATGGTACTCGTGGAGAAACAATTCTCTCCGGCATCAGCTGTTACGGCTTGACAATGGATGAAGAAGGATCACTCTATGTCTCTGACGTAGTTGAACATGAAGTAAGACGATATCGTCGAGGTGATTCGCTAGGAGTAGTGGTGGCTGGTGGAAACGAAGACGGAAGAGATCTCAATCAGCTCAGTGGACCCCGCTACCTCTTCGTTGATCGTGAACACTCAGTGTTTGTCTCTGATTATAACAATAATCGAGTGATGAAGTGGGCAGTAGGGGCAAACGAAGGAATAGTGGTGGCGGGTGGTCGAGGAGAAGGAAAAAGTCTGTCACAACTGTCTAACCCTAATGGAGTACTAGTAGATCAGTTAGGTACTGTTTATGTTGCTGATTCAGAGAATAATCGAGTTGTCCGTTGGCCACAAGGAGCACAACAAGGAACGGTGGTGGTAGGTGGAAATGGTCAAGGAGCAAAATCAAATCAACTGAGTGTACCGAAGGGATTGTCATTTGATCGCTTTGGTAATCTCTATGTGACCGAGTTTGGAATCAACCGAATGGTAAAATACACTCTGGAAATGTCCTCGAATTAACTAACGTGACAGACAATAAAGAAATTATCCGAACTTTTGCCCTTCTTTTGATTGTAGTTTGTTTGATCTGAAAGAAATAAAAGAGAAATAAATGGAAAAAAGGATACATCCGCGCGCGACCACAGAGACTCTGATTGTTCGAGGTTTAAGGACCAGCAACATCAAGATCGTGTGCATATCAGAATATATATGCGTAGATCTTGTCGTTATCTTTATCCAACATGTAGAATTTTTCTGTTGTTGCAATAAAATTTCAACGCTATGAAAAGAAAAAGAATTAAGAGATAATGAACGGACACTAATTACTTATTAAGTAACTCTGTTTTTGAAGGATGGAAAGAAATCTCGATTAATTCTATCTGTTCCAAAAAATTACAGTTAATCGAGACTTCTTTTTCGAAAGAATACTAACATTCAAACATATATTCATAGTTGTTGATGATCAATG